CTCTTTCTTCTCTTCTCTCTCTCTTCTCTCCTCTCTCCCTCTCTTCTTCTCTCTCTCTTCTCTCTCTGTCGTCTGTCTGTCTGCCTCTAGTCTCTCTCTCTTCTTCTTCTCCTCTATTCTGTCTTGTCTCCTCTCTTCCTCTTCCTCCTTTTCCGCATCTCTCGTCTGTCTTTGCTCTCTTCTCTCTCTTTCTCTCTCTCTTCCTCTCTCTCTCCTCTTCTCCTTCTCTCTCGTCCTCTCTCTCCTCTTCTCTCTTCTCTTCTATTCCCTCTCCTCTCCTTCTCCTCCGTCCCACACGTACGTCGCCTTCCCGCTCCTCCTCGTTTTCTTTGGACGGTCCGCTCCCCTCTTCCTGTTTCTCCTCTTCTGCTCTTCTCTTCCCTTCCTTATCACTCTCTCTCTTCCTCGGTTCTCTCTCTTCCTTCTTCTCTCTTCCTCTCCGGGGTCCCCTGTCTTCTCTTCTGCTCTTCTCCCTTTCTTTCCTCCTCCTTTCCCCTCTCCTCTTCCTCCTCCCTCTCGTTCTTCTCCTCCTCTCCCCTTCTTCTCCTCCTCTCGCTTCCTCCACCTTACCCTCTCTCTCTCCCTCCTTGTCTTCTGCTATCTCTCTCTCTCGTGCTCTTCTCTCTCTCTCTTTCTCTCTCTCTGCTCTCGTGTGTGTGTGTGTGTGTGCAAAGTCCTCTTACCAAATCCACGCTTTCCTCCGTTCTCTTCTGTTTTCCTATTGTCCATTCTCCCTCGTCTTCTCTTCAAGCTCTCTCTCCCTCCCTCCTCCCTTACTCCCCATTATTCTCCCCGTCATCTCCCCTTTCTCTCGTACCTTCCTCCTTAACCCCCCCCCTGATGGAGTATTGTGTAGATTATTGTCGTTTTTGTTAAAATTGCGCGAGACCAAAAGAATATTCGTATACTTGACATGCATAAATAAATATTTATCAGTCTAGACATGCATATCAACCGGGCAAATAGATAGTTAAATGTATATCAGGTATATAGACAGATAAGCACCGGGCAAATAGATAGTTAAATGGTTATTTATCAGATATACAGACAGATAAACCTTTATTTCTGTGTCTGTATTTATGGAAATTCATTGGGTCGGGCCTGGCACAATTTTAACAAACCGGCCGTATATGTGCATAAACTGGTGTATTTACTTCAGGGCAGTTTACTTACCGCGAAGAAGAATGTTAATGATAATGATTATGGAAGTAATCAAAATAGTGATTATAATGATAATAATAAAGATGATACTGAAAATGATAATGATGCTAATAATTATTATAATTATAATAGTAATAATGATAATAATAATAATAATGATAATAATGATTATGATGATAATAATGATAATAGCAGTAACAATAATAATGACAATAACAATAAAGATAATGATAATGATAACAATAACACAAATAAAGATAATGTGATTGTGTTGGTGTGTGTTGGTGTGTGTGTGTGTGTGTGTTTGTGAAAAAGAGAGTGATTTTCTTTGATACGTTGTCAGTTGTAACCCCTTTTACACTAAAATGAAGTGACTTCAAGTCCTCAGTCACATGAAATATATTTCAAGGTATGACGATCGATTACCAGAAGGTTCAAGATTTGAATTTTGAAAAATGTGAACAGATGGATGAAACAAGTAAAATTTAATGGTGAAAGTAATGATGATAGTGATAGTA